AATGATGAATATTTTCGCAACTTTTGCCAGAACTGGGTTCGTATTAATTACTTAATAATTAGATATGATTTTTTACAATTAAATATTAATTTGTAATAATAATTATTAATTTACTTTATAGTAAACCGCCGGCGCAGGGAGGCTTTGATTGGCCCCAGTATTACACAATTAATGGCAATACTGTTGCCCCGTATTATGAAGTGACAAATTACCCGAAAAACATCACAAATTTTAATGTCGATCTTAAGTATACTGATTGCGAGGACCTATTTAAACCTTATGTCGAAAATTGAAAAGATTTTATATAAACGTGTGTTTATTGCCATATTTTTGTCATTTATTCACTTAACTTATAAATTTTGAAATAAAATATTTAAACTAACCATGAGTAATATTCTATATTCTGAACTACAATAAATGCATGTAGTTATTTCTAATTTGGTCTAAATAGTGTGTCAATTATTTCTGGTTTGCTTCATGTTTACTATAATTGATCTATATTATATGGTTGGGGATTTTTCAAACTAATTCTTTTTAATTATACAATGTTCATTTATTTTTTATATAACGTTCTCAAATTATGAAATTCATAGACAAATATAAATATTAAATTATACAGTTAATAATAAATCATTTACCTTATAGTCAAGAATAGAGGTTTTCACTTTAATGTACAGTATTTAGAAAGTTTATGTACAATAGTTTAATTCTAATTAATGATTAACAAATTAAAATGACAAAAATGATATTGATATTAACAGATTCTCTAAAATGTAAAAAAGATTTCAAGGTAAAAAATACATCAAAGTAGTTTTATTTAAAATTAACCATTTTTGAGAACGCATAATACACAAATTAAATTTAGTACAACTTTAAAACGGTTGCACCCATTGATAAACATATTGATTTTTACCTTATTATTAACCATTACGTGTGTGGTTACTGTACTTATATGTCCTTGGATAAATACTGTACTTTATATAAGACTTGATTGATTAATAAATATACAGTATATAAAGGAATCATTAGTTTAATTCCTCATAAATTAAAAATATATTTACAAAGTAGACAATAAATTCATTAAAGATATGAATGATTTAAGAATATTTTTATTTTCACTGATATCATGGTTGACTTTAAGCCAAAGTAATGCTAAAGAGATGAGTGTTTCGGTGGAGAAGGGAGTGATTGTCGGCAACACTCGGCCCACAGTTGACGGCAAACAAGTGAACGAATTTCTGGGCATTCCTTACGCCAAACCACCCAAAGGTGACCTCAGGTTCCGGAAACCCGTTCCCACCGACAGTTGGTCTCAACCATTGGTGGCCGACAAGTGGCCCAACCCTTGCCATCAGCCGCCACTACTGGTGCCGTTCATGCAAAACAAAAACCTCAGTGAAGATTGTCTTTACCTTAACATATGGTCACCGTTTAGTAAAGTAAGATCAGCTCAACTTAAGCCGGTTATGTTTTACGCCTACGGGGGCGGCCTGACTATCGGGTCCTCCAGTGAACTCCACTATAGGGGCGAAGTGTTGGCCACAAGGGGTGACCTCATTGTTGTTAACTTTAATTATCGGTTAGTTTTATAATAAATGTATAAATATTTTCCAAACTTAATATTTATTTATTATTAGATTAAATGGTTTCGGGTTTCTATACACTGGTACCGACGATGTGCCCGGAAATATGGGTCTCTGGGACCAGGCGCTGGCACTGGAATGGGTTCATAAAAACATCAAAAACTTTGGTGGAGACCCTGATAAGATCACTATATTTGGTGAAAGTGCCGGTTCAACCACTACCAGTGCATTAATCCTATCGCCCATAACTCGCAATCTATTCAAAAACGCTATAATGATGTCGGGGTCGGCAGACCCGCCCACCAGGCCCTTGAGGTGACTCTATTACGTTATAACCGAATTTTATAGTTTTGTTTACTTGACATGACTGCTAGTTTGTGGGCTGTTTAAGTGGGGTTTTTAGTAGCTGACAGAGTTCTCCATTGATCCAAAAACATTGGCAACATATACCTCCGTACCATTGGATCAGTTGGGAAGCGGTATAAGACAAGTGTCTTATTTCGTAGCCGACGGCGCATTTCTACCCAAAAGACCGCACGAAATGCTTGAATCCGGAGATTTCCACAAAGAGTTGAATCTAATGATAGGCAACTGCGAGGACGAGGGCGGGTCTGTCCTACAAGTATTTGCCGGCCCTCTCAGAGTTGATGCCAAAAAGTTTGATTTCCATAACCCGACGCCTATTACATACACTGAGGCCTACAATATCACTAAAAACCTATTCTCGTCGTTGATTTTGAAGCCAACTGGGCGGGTGGTCCGGGAACTCCACTGAGATAATGCAATATTGGCTTAAAATATCAAAACAAATGAACTGTACTGACGATCAAACACCCGACAAATTCACCCCAAAAATCATCGACTGTCTCAAGAACATTGATCCAAAAACATTGGCAACATATACCTCCGTACCATTGGATCAGTTGGGAAGTGGTATAAGACAAGTGTCTTATTTTGTAGCCGACGGCGCATTTCTACCCAAAAGACCGCACGAAATGCTTGAATCCGGAGATTTCCACAAAGACTTGAATCTAATGATAGGCAACTGCGAGGACGAGGGCGGGTCTGTCCTACAAGTATTTGCCGGCCCTCTCAGAATTGATGCCAAAAAGTTTGATTTCCATAACCCGACGCCTATTACATACACTGAGGCCTACAATATCACTAAAAACCTATTCTCGTCGTTGATTTTGATGCCACCGATTAATGGCGAAGAAGTGGCGAAACTATACTTCACGGGTTTGTCAGATAAGACACCTCAGGATGCGCTCAGACTGACCATTGGTATAGCATTTGGCGATTGGGTCAATACGTGTGCGAACATTGGATTCGCAAAAGGCATCTATAAAAAGGACCCAAAAAGTAATGTCTATCAGTATTACTTCAACAGTAAGATAAGTGATTGGAGTCCGTTTTGTGGGCCATGGATGGGGGTGTGTCACGGCAATGATGTGGACCACGTATTTGGCATACCATTTCTCGATACCAAGCGCTTTGTCGATAGGGAACGGGAGATATCGCAACAAATGATGGATATATTTACAACTTTTGCCAGAACTGGGTTTGTATTCAATCTATCATTTAAAATATTAATAAACTTATTTTACTTTTGATCAATACTTTAAATTAATTTATATATTTTTATAGAAAACCCCCGGCACAGGGAGGCGCTGAGTGGCCCCAGTACTATAACATTGGTGGTAAGACTATTGCCCGTATTATGAAGTGACAAATTACCCCAAAAATATTACAAACTTTAATACAGACCTCCAATATACTTATTGCGAGAACCTATTTAAATCATATGTAGAAAATTGAATTAAATTATTAAAATATATAGTATTTGAATACCGTAACAGTCTTAGTCTAAAATACAAGTAAAGTATGATTTGTTTATTTCATGTTTATTTTAGTAGACATACTTAAATTTAATATGATTTATATCTTTTTAAAATGTGATAAACATTTTACGATAATATATATGTCAAATAAATTATTTATTTAAGTAAAGCAAATATGTTTTCAATTGCATTATAAATTAATTTGAACAATAAAGTGCTTTATAAAATTACACTGATTACTTTTTACCGATAGCATTCAAATCAACGGCATTCCCCTGCGGGGCGTAAAGGGAACCGCCGTCTGAGACAAAGTTAATGCCCGTTACGAACGAACACTTATCCGACGCCAAGAATAGTATGACATTCGCGATGTCTATGGCCTCACCCACCCGTCCCAATGGGTAGCCCTTTGCCAGCACATGCATGAGCCCATCAAATTGTTCCCTGGTCATTATGCCCAATGACATACCAAAGTCTGTGCGAACGGCTGCCGGACTAATAAGTATATAAATAATAAATATAAAAATTGTTTAAAACCTTTTACTTATACAGTACTAGTGATTGGTTTATAGTTTTTAAATACAGTATTAAATGTTTATTAAATGAATAAAAAATTTAATATTTACTTACTTAACAATATTGACACGAATACCCTTGGGTCCCAATTCCAGTGCCATACACTTGCTGAACATGTCCAGGGCACTTTTGGACATACCGTATAGAAACCCCATAGCACTCTATATAAAAATATAATTATTTATTAAATTATAAACTTTTTATAATTAAGTTTTTCGATACATACGGGTCTAATGCCGGCAATCGCTGAAACATTTATGATATTTCCCTTAGTTTTCTCCAAATGCTCGACAGATAATTGAGTCAAATATATGACTGACCGGAGGTTTGTGTTCATAACCATCTCATACTTGTCAATGAGCTGTGGATCAGCTATTTTGGTGATGTCTCCGTACGCGGCGTTATTCACCAAAACATCCAGTTTTCCGAAAGTTTTAATAGTGGTGTCAACGAGTCGTTTGCAGTCATCCAGTTTACTGATGTCTACGACCACTTCCAGGGCTTTCAAGCCTTTTGGTGAAACTTTACGGCACTCTTCGGCGGTTTCCTTCACTGTCTGCGCCTTTCGACCGGTGATCACCACATGAGCCCCGCATTTAGCGAACTCTAATGCAGCGGCCGCTCCGATACCGGCGCTCGAGCCGGTGATCAGTACTACCTTTCCGTTGAACTCGTCGTAAGTATTAGACATTATTTTCGGTGAAAAGTATTCAGAAGTTTTGAAAACTATTTATTAAAAGTTTTTTGAATTAACTGTTGATATGATGTGTAAATGTTGTGTGAATAGCGGTTTATATAGTGGAGAGCACAGGTATGTGCTAAACTAATCAAGGTCGCTACCGCTGTTTATTGCTAGTGCATACTTTATATTACGCAAACTCCACTGATATTGTAAATATTCTATTATCATTAATATTTGCTAAATGTATACTTAAGATAATAGTAATAAAGTTTTAAGCCTAAATATTGTATGTTGGGTGCGGATAAACTAGTAGTGAGTTTGCGTTTTGTTAATTTTAAACTTATGTTGTACTGTGTTTTGTTGATGAGGGTTATGGTTAAGTTAAATGTTTATGAAAATAATTGTTGTCCTTTATATCAATTAAATTAATAACACATTTGAACAGTTCACTCATTAATTACATAAACTCTAGTGTTGGAAAAGTATTGATTGTATTTCATTGCACACCAAATCCATAAAATAGAGATTTTCTCGATTATCCAAATAATAAAGTCTTTGCCATTTGTGCCAAACCATAGACCAAACATTCCTCCAGTATATGACATATAGTCTGTTAGAGACATAACCGGTTCCTCCCGATAGACATACAGGGGTTGTGTTGAGTCCCAAACAAATAACATNCAGGCTAAAATACTTTCAGAAAAACTTATACGACTTATATGTCAATTTTTTTCACGTAAAAGGTTCCTCCCGATAGACATACAGGGGTTGTGTTGAGTCCCAAACAAATAACATTTCTGTAAACCTATCCATATAAGGTTTATCATACCACTCATGATTACCTATTTGTGTATTACTTGATTTAACCCTTGATTTATAATCAATTATTAAACAATCCTTTGGGCAGTACTCCAAACATTTTGCTTTAAATTTATAATTATCATCATTAGCTGAGTCATCAAGGATAGTTTGTCGATCATAACAATAAATTTGGGTTAAATTACTCTCAAAATCTAATTCATTTAAATAATTGTCAATAAAAAGTGGATAACATTTATGGTGTCGTTTCCAATAATATCGGACACAACGTCTCATACACTGTGTATGAGATGTGGAACCAAATGGTTGTTCACCAGTACTCCAGTCATAGTAACTACAGTTTCCGTGAGGTCCCCCTAAATATGTTTTTATTGTTTTACTCACAATTATCGTTAGATTAATATCTCGAAATTTATCATTAATATTAACTAGATCATCTGTGTGTGGATAAGGTTGCGAATGTAGTAAAATATTTTGAAGGTAGGGATGATATATATTTGGTTGTGCTAGTTTTAAAAATACTTTGGAATCAGTTGGAGAATGTGATTTATTTATATACCACGTTCTCAATATAAGGTCTACCTTTTCACTCAAATAATTTGAATAATAACTGTCCACTGATTTTGTTAAATCGACATGGTCACCTTTTACGTGAAAAAAATTGACATATAAGTCGTATAAGTTTTTCTGAAAGTATTTTAGCCTGGTTGCGTTTAATTTGCTTGAAAACTCAAATTTTGCTATTGTTCCCAAATTCTTTAGGTTTAGTACAATTGATACAAACGGGTAGTTATGATCGGTTTCATATGTTTTCGCATCGATTGTAATAATGGATTCAAAACTGAAGTAATGTACAGATATTGAGTATAATTGGTGTATAAGTATTGTGCAAAGCATAGCAGTAAATATATGTTTAATATATTTAATATGGTTGACATAATTGAAATTTGATAAAGTTAGTGAATATGTTAATCTTGTAAAATAATAATTGAATTTTCTTTCTAATAATGCAATCAAATATTGTATTAAACCAATGAAATTGATTCCTTGCCATAGACTCAATATATTGGCGATACTTATGATTAGTCCTATGAATGTGAATTTTGCCGAATATTTAACTAGGATATAAAATTTATCATGAAACTTAAATTGATATTGGTGAATCTTGCTGTAAGCCACTGGATTTAAATCAGTTATTTTATGAATATATACATTTTCAAAACATGAAACAGGACATTTATATTTGCAATAATTATCAACAAATAGATTCATTTCAATTAACTTTTTTGTGTTAATATATGAACAAAATTTAAAATTTTCAAATGAACTTATAGTTAGTAAGCTATTATATTTGGGAATACATTGAAAGCGATACTGATATTCATTTTCATAGCATATGTTTAAACAATAAAATTGAGTTTCATTTCCAGAATATTCATAGCATTGCGTGTCGTATGGTTTCGGCAATCGCTTCAAATCATATCTAATTATTTGAATTGATTTCATATAATTGTTTGGATTATCTTTAAACTCAATCACATTATCTGTTTGAAGTGGCAATGAGTTCATTGAATGGATTATAAATGATTTTTTAAATGAACAAACTTTATTATAGGTGCCATCAAAACCACGATATTCTTTGAAATTAACGCTATTTTTGAAAGCAAAATTGTTTATGTTGAATTGTTTATACATTGGCCACACATAATTTCTAGTATAGTTGGGATCATTAGATTGAAAACCCGACAAAAAAGTGTTACATTTGCCAAAAGGGGATAATATTCTGAGCGTTGGTCTTAATTCGTGACATTTGTATTGCCGATCAATATCACAGTATATAAGACTCGAATAAACATCCATTTCCTTATGAAAGTCATTCACAATATTCTCATTAATTTCACGCAAATTATCTTTAAATTCTTGTCGTGTGTTTACATCGAGGTATTTGCGAAAAATGCTGTATATTGTTTATCATCGATAATATTCTCAATATATTTCATGTATATTTTTCTTTGTTTTATAATATTTGATGCACGTTTTATACTATCCTTCTGCACATCTGATATAACATTATATTTCGTATAATAATTTATTACATTTTGTATGTAGTCATCCGATGTGTTATACTTTAATACTGGATTCATATGTTTAAAAACTACATTTTCAAAATATAACCTAATATTGGGATCAAATAAAATGTTTTCAAACGTGTTTTCATAGCATACAGTGATTGCAGGAATCGTTTGCAGAGAAATGCGGTTATTATTTGTAATATCTTTGTATTCAATCCTTTGTATTGAGGTTTGTGTTGGAAATTGTAAGTAATTATATATAAGTGAATAAGTTTGTATAAATACTATTGGAATTGTGGATAAAATTATAATTTTTTTCCATTTGTAATGCGAAAATTTTTGGATTATTTTATAAATATTTTTAATAAATTTTCGAAAAGAAATTAATAAATTAATTTGATAAATTTTCTGTAGAAATATATTAATATGATTTAATATGAGTCTAATGAGAGCACTGGTATCTATGAATGACATCCCAAACCACAAACTAATGAGTCCTCCGATGTTTGACAAGAAGTCAACGAATGAATACTTTTTGTCAGAATTGTAGTGAAATTCTTGACTTATTTTGTATTCAATTCTAATTTTGCTGTCATTTTGTGCCGAATATGAGTTGTCTTCCAATTCTAGTGAATAGTATTTTTGGTGACAATTCTTAACGCATTTCTCTTTACAATAGTTTGTATTAACAGAATATTCTGTATTTGTATTATTATTACCACATATTCTATACTGTGTTTGACTCGCATTCATAAGAATAAACTTTTCATTGATGTAAGGATTGGGTAAACATTTAAATGAATTATAATAAAGTCTTTCAACGCATTTTGTATAACAGTCATTTGCATTATTAAAATCTATTGAAATAATACTTTTAAAAATAAATTAGTATAATATTTAAAATAAATACCCTTTTTATGACATTCATTCATATAAGGCGTGGAAATGAGATGGAAATGAGTTGTCGTTATCTTCAGTCTTGCATTTAATCCAATTCTCTTCGTCTTAATCGATATCTCTTTCGATACCATTAATGAAGTGGTCATTGGATTCACAAATACATAGATATTAAAGAAGTCATCTTTACTATATGAATCGAGCTCATCTGGAAAGTTAGTCTCATAGTATGAATTAAGTAAAAACTTTATTAAAGTTTTATATCTAATGCTTAACTCAACGAAGTCGTCGTCAATGAGATAATAGTTGTAATGATTTGTATAGAAATACGTGAAACATATTCCGAAGTCTTTATTCCCATAAATAGTCTCCAAAACGACATAACTTTGCGAACAATCAGTCATTACTTGAGAATCACTGCTATTATTGTTATTTGAATTTAATTTCTCCAATGAATGCAATTTTGCCGAACATTTAATCAATTCATTGGATTTTATTGTGAACTTATTGTATAATTCATTGAATGTATAGTTTGTTAACATTATAACTTTATATTTATTAAATAACTTATTAATTTCGTGAAAATTTCTAAATAATCTTTGTTCGTGCATTGTTAATAGGCTATAACTTTTTAAATATCTTAATAAATCTAATTCTGATTCAATTTGATTGTATTCGTGACTTATGTTAAAGTATCGGTTAATCCGTAACTTATCAAAAAACACTGTACTTTCCGTACAGACAGTAATCGGCGGTAAATCCAGTCTTTCATTGGGTTTAACATTAAGTCTATAAACATATGGATAACTGAAGTACTCTTTTGTCACTTCTATTCCTCCGTAGAATAGCACTGAAAGACACAACACTTTCACCAATAGTTTTATATACGATTTAAACGTATAGTTCATATTTNAACTGAAGTACTCTTTTGTCACTTCTATTCCTCCGTAGAATAGCACTGAAAGACACAACACTTTCACCAATAGTTTTATATACGATTTAAACGTATAGTTCATATTTCGAGTGATAAACACAAATAAAGTTTTAATTTTAGTAAATTTATAAGATATAAAATTTATAAGAAAGTGAAGTATCGCCATTGTTGATCACAAAGTACAGTATGAAGCACAATCTGAATAATAATAACAAAATCTATATTTATTTCTATTTATTCTACAGATTTATATAATTAAAATGATTACACAAACTGGTACTGTATAT